CGTACAGACACCGGTTTGTTTGAAATTGAGAAGCATCAGTTAAGAAAACGTATATGGTTTATTTAAGGCCTAGCTTTATTTGTAAAAATTAGTATATTATGTTATAGCAATGACTCGCATGATTAGAATAGACGTAGCTGTCCGAGTAATTCTACGTTATGAGCGTATGTGCAACGTAATGTTCGAGAATCGTAGAAGATGATGTCACAATGACGGAATTATCCACCAATTTATTGGGAACGTTTTAGAAGCGCCCCGTTTCACATGGTGGCCACGAACTGTTAATCCGGTTTATGTGCTAATCAGATTTATCGTGACCGTGTCGGCGTAAATTGTTTTGACTATATGATTTATATTGTAATATAACTTACTAAACGTACGTTTTACTTGTATTTCGTACGCTAGACTTTGCATAAACACTGCGTATTTTGACGCGCAGCAGTGCTGTTACTTGACGCGTAGTTTCATTATCTAATTCTGGGAGTATCAGACTGTGGCATCTGATACCACTTATATGTATAATACATTCTTAAAAGATCTCGAAAAGGTCAAATTACCGTTTGTATTTCTCGGCAGGATATTGTAAGCGTTACTTAACAAAAGTGTATTATTAAAGATGCTATATTTTCCGTTCTTTTTTTTTTCATCCAAGTAAACCTACCAGCGAACATGTCAGTCTAACCCGGGTTCGAATCTCGTTCTATATCGAGTATAGTTTCGAATCTTTGCAGGCTTCGATACGATAATTTTGGGGGAAGAGTTCAAATTTAACACCTTTTAAGTGTTGTATTATTCAAAATATTTCAAGATACAGTACACACACTAATTTTTTTTTCGTATTTATACACATGTATCACACACCTCGCACAGGAAGATAAAATGAATTCCTGAACTTGTCATGCACCAGTTTGTATCTTCCTGGAATGTTACACGTTATTTCTGCTGTTTCTCTCATCAGTCTTCTTCTTCTTTCTCGCTCTCTGTCTCCTTTTTTTTAAATTTATTTATTTTTTGTTTCCCTGTAAGATTTATAAACAGATCCATAGAGAGAGGTAGTTGCAGTAGGCTCCCCGTGGCTCCCCGGGTATAGAAAATGTTACTTTTCAGCACACTCAGGTAATTAAAACCATCTGTTATAACCGCTCATCCTGTGAACCGAGAAGTGACTTACTACCCCCTCGTGATAATACAAGTAAAACATCCCGAATACTTTGTCACAAATTGTTCTGTTTTTGCTACTTGTTTTCACGTGGTTCGGTAAGAGGGGGGGGGGGTGTTCAGAGTTCACTGCTTATGATGAGAAAACGTAGTGTACTTTGAAACGGCTTGAATGGGTAATGAAGTGTATTTTAAATGGATGTAACCCTCAGTCAGACTATAGTATCGACCTTTTTTTACACGCTGTGCACAAAACACCTGAGTAGAAATTGTTGATTGCGTATGGCATAGGTTAATAATGAAGGTTAACAAGGTTTGTGAAACAGATAGCGTAAGAAGTGTTGGGTGAAAGTAAAGGGAAGTGTGGGATATTTATCAGTACATTCGGTACACTTAAAATATAACATACACGAACGATTGGTTACGTACCATTTAATAAGGGAAGAACTTTTAATGTTATCCCCCTCTCCAAAATATTAACACACTTTAACTGTAAGAGTTCGGAAGTTGCGAGTTTAAATAATATCTATACACACTCTCACCTAAGGATAACTGTGTCTGTCTTCCACCTAGATGGGCTTGTGGGACTTGATAGGATAACTGTGCTATCTTCAACCTAGATGGGCTTGTGGGACTTGATAGGATAACTGTGTCTATCATCGACCTAGATGGACTTGTGGGAGTTGATAGGATAACATCGACCTAGATGGGCTTGTGGGAGTTGATAGGATAACTGTGTCTATCATCGACCTAGATGGACTTGTGGAAGTTGATAGGATAACATCGACCTAGATGGACTTGTGGGAGTTGATAGGATAACA